CCCTGACAGCAAGCCCTAAACATCTAAACCCGACAGAACCCCTTGTAGAGTCGCCTTATGGAACCTTCCAAGAACACCATGAACCCCTAAACCCTAAACCCTAAACCCCTAAAGCCTAAACCCTTAAACCCCTAAACCCCAAAACCCCTAAACCCTAAAACCCTAAACCCCTAAAGCCTAAACCGGTTCGAGCTGCTGCTCTGAAGATGACAGCCGCCATTCCTCGGCTCTTCCGGGTTGAGGCTTTGGGGTTTAGGGCTGGGGGGTTAGGGTTGGGCTTTAGGGTATAGTGTTTAGGGTTTAGGGTTCAGAGCTTTGGGTTCAGGGCTTAGGGCTTAGGGTTTAGGGTTTAGGGTTTAGGGTGTTGGGTTTTCAGGGCTTAGGGTGTTGGGTTTGTAGGGTTTGGGGTTTTGGGCTTTTAGGGTTTAGGGTCTAGGGTTTGGGAATTGGGGATTTGTAGTGTAGACTGTCGGATTTCGGCATGGCTGTCGCACAGGGTGTTGAGGGTTTCGGGTTGAGGGTTTCGGATTTCAGGTTTAGGGTTTAGGGCCGAGGGTTTGGGGACCTGATATCTGAAGAATGAAAGGGTTTAGGGTTTAGGGTTTAGGGTTTAGGGTTTAGTAAGGGTGGTTCTTGTAGCTGTGGGTTTTCGTGGTGTTGTAAGGTTTAGGGTTACCCATACAGCCCTTCAGTCTACCAAAAGTCTCGGGGCATTAAGGGCTCTACAGGGTCTATACCCTGTGCTAGGCACTAAACCCTGAAACCCGAAACCCTAAACCCGAAAACCCCTAAAACCTTAAACCAACCCTTAACCCGAAAGCCCGACACCTAACCCCTGAAACCCTAAAGCCCGAAACCTAACCCCTAAAGCCCTAAAGCCTTAAAAAGCCCGAAACCTAAAACCCTAAAGCCCTACACCCGAAAGCCCGAAACCCTAATTGCTAGAACCCTAGGGGAATTACAAGCCTTGTAGCAGTAGCAGTCCTTATGGCACCCTTATAGTAGCCTACACCCTAAACCCTGGATCCTAAAGCATAACCCGGACCGTGACCCTTTATTTGACTCCGAGATGCGACCAGTAGCTGAAGTGAGCACAGCCAGCCACGCTGTTGCATCCTCGGTGCGAGCGGAGCCAGCCCAAACCCCAGCCCACAGGGATCTATGAAACTTCGATTAATTAGTTCTGTACAAAGAGTGCTCGGAAAATTCGATCGAAGGGTTCTATAAGGGCTCCATAAGGAGTCTCGAAGGGATCACTATAAGAGCCTGAGTAGTTTTCAACAAGTCTTAGGGCACAGTAAGGACGAACCATATTATAAGGACCCTTCTGGACAAAGTAGTTCTCAACACTGTTTGTAGGCTAACCCTAAACCCTCCCTAAACCCTAAACCCCTCAACACTGCATGTAGGCTGATGTAATATGGAGGCCCAAACCCTAAACCCTAAACACCCTACACCCTAAACCCTAAACGGGTGTCCGGAACAGGGCTTCAAGCTTCAGGTTTCGTGTTTAGGGATCCCTAAACCCTAAACCCCGTGGTGTAGGGCTTTGAGGGTTTCGCTTCAGGGTTTATAGTTTAGGCTTTAGGGATTATGGTTTAGGTTTAGAGTTTAGGGTTTAGGGATCAGAGACGAGACTTTTGCGCACCGTAGAAAAACTTCAATCCCGGCATGCGAGGATGCGCCCGCATAGCTGTGCAGGGCCTCTCGATTGAGCCGCTCTGGAACGACGGCCGAAAAGAGGCAGCCGTTGAAATTTCTGCAATCAAAGAGAATCACAACCTCGTTGACTGCCCAGGAGGGCATGGCAAGCAGCACAGCGAAGCACCTCGACGGTTGGGGCACAGCAACATAAAGCTCAGGGAAATGGTGGCTGAGCTCCTCATCCCGGCACTCTGCGACTGCGTGCAGTGCATTAGATCAGGGACACTGGAGGGGATCTGCATGGGAATGAACAAGGCTTCAGGTTGCGTATCAGGCGGGTAAATCAGGAAGAGGGTGTGAAGTTGCTCGTAGACGTGGATGCAGCTGCAATGCCCCCAAGGCTGTTTAATTGCGAAGGATCTAAAGGAAGCTCGATAAGACAGAGCGGAAGATGCTTGACAAAGTCTATCCCAAAGGCCCGAACTGTCTGTCGGTTGGGGCTTCTTGCAACTGCAGGTGCTCTGTCTAAAATTGGCAGTTTGGTCAAGTCTCTATGCGAAGCTCTTAAACATCGTAGAATATCGACCCTAAACCCTAAACCTTTTACCTCCAACCACAGGCGCATGCTCTCATGGACGCGTGGTCTTCGGCATCGTCGCATCCGAATTCGGATGAAGACCCTCGCCCGAAGTACTCCTATGACGGTGAAGCTCCATGTCTCTAAATCACATAGACGGTGGACAATATATATATATATATATATGTATGCACACAGGCGCACACACATATGTATACATATATATATATATATAGATACATCCACCCTATTGCGGCGTGCTGGCGTAAGCGTACGTATATGAGGGGCGAACAGGAGAGAGGCACGCAGAAGCCAGAGAGAGAGAGAGAGAGAGCCACAGAAGCCGCACGTAGGGGCCTTAATAATTAGAATAGGCTTTTTGGGTATACTATACCATAATAATAATAATAATAATAAAACTGCCATGGCTCTGCTCTGGCAGTCGTACCAATTCGCCTCAACCGTCCGACCTCTGCAGGCTCCGCTCGGGTTTAGGGGTCTGGGCGTTTAGGGGTTTAGGGGTTTAGGCGTTTGGGGTTTGGAGTTTCGGGTTTAGGGTTTAGGTTTTAGGGCTATGGTCTTGCTCAAGATGTAAAAAAGACCGGACTAGCCCTGTACAGAAGGACCAAGCGCTATCAGGGGTTAGGGTTTAGGGTTTAGGGCTATGAGGGTTTAGGGTTTAGGGCTTAGGGTTATTGAGGGTTTGCGGGGGTTCTTCAACGAAACTCCTCCCCTCAATGCGACGAAAGGGTCTTTTCTATGATCCCGAGACCTGGAAACTATGATGTAGACTAGGTCAACAAGTGTTACCCTTACGTCCCTTTTGCCACAGGCTGGCACTCAAGAGTAGGAACAGGGTAACGACTGTTGTTTGGGTTTAAGTCGGAACTTCGCTGTAAACCGTATGACAATATGAAGCCCTAAAATCTTAGATAAAACCGTACATAAACAAAAAGCCCGTACACACCCTATCTAGGTTCCTCAGTAGTACCCTTTTGTCCTTTTTAATTTGGGATCTCCTTGTTAAAACCGAATATTCGGAAAAAATGGTATCATACTGGATTTTGAAAGGGCTACTGGGGAACATTCCATACAAACCCTGTGGAGCTCGATATAAACCCTAAACCACAGACCCTAAACTCTAAATCCTGAATCCTAAACCCTCAACCCTAAATCCTAAACCCTGACCCCTAAACTCTCAACCCTACACCCTCAACCCTAAATTTAAAATCCTAAACCCTAAACACCAAATCCTAAACCACTCAACCCCTTAGGACACAGATCCGGAGAGCCCCTGAGATGCAGCACGAGCCTTTAGGGCCCCAAAAAAGCACATAAGCCAAGATTAGGATCCGGATATCCCATATACATCCCCTTATCATGAAGCCCAACAAGGTAGTAGGATATCCCTATAAAAAGCTTATGCCTGTGCCCCTAAACCCTAAACCCTAAACCCTAAACCCTAAACCCTAAACCCTAAACCCTAAACCCTAAACCCAAAGCCTTGGCCATCCATGTCTGGCTCGTACTGCACGCCGAACTTGTAGCAGTTGCCCTGCGGCTCGGATAATTGGGGCTTGTAGGCTTTAGGGTTTAGGGTTTAGGGTTTAGGGTTTAGGATTTAGGGTGTACCTGGACCCTAAAGAACCCACCTGTTTAGGGTTCCTGAATATGACTTCTTCATATAAGTCCTGAAAAATGTAAGCTCTTTGGGGTTAAGATAGGGTTCAGAATTTCGGGTTTAGGGTTTAGGATTTAGGGTTTAGGGTTTAGAATTGAGGGTGTAGGGTTTCGGGTGTAGGGTTTAGAATTTAGGGTTGAGGGTTTAGTATATAGGGTGTAGGGTTTAGAACTGAGGGTTTAGGGTTTAGGGTTTAGCGTTTGGAGTTGATGGTTTAGGGTTTAGGATTTTGGTCTTAGAAGCTCCCAGAGAGCCCAATACAGCTTAATTAAGGAGTATAGCTTAAACTTCTAGGGGCTTCATACAAGACTTAAGGGTTCAGGGTTTAGGGTTTAGGGTTTAGGTCCTTATTTAAGGGGTCGTGGATTTTCTGGGTTAGGGTTTAGGGTTTAGGGGGCTGGATTCTTGGGTTGTACAGGGTTGCACAAGGGTTCATAAGGCTTTAGGGGGTGGACGGTGCTGTTTTGTTCTGCTTAAGACTCGGCATATTCGGAGCGGTTCAGGGTTCAAGTTTAGGGTTTAGGGTTTACCTACCTTGGGGCTGCCCCATGAATCTGATTCTGAAATATTTAGGGTTTAGCGCTTAAGGTGGTTCAGGCCCCCTTTTTTGCAAACAAACTCCAAGCACACCCATAGTCCAAATAGGCCCCAAAGCCTGCGATCGTTTCGGTTGAGCTCAGACGCCGTAATATGGCTTGGGGATCAGGGTTGTTTGAAACTTGGGTTCTTAACCCTAAACACTAAATCAATCTTAACTCAAAGATGCAGAATCACAAACTCCATGCCCCAGCACGGTTTGGACCCTCTGAAGCCGGTGGGGGATCTGTGGAATTTCACTAAGGGCTCCTTTAAGAGATCTATACGGTACCCTCACGGGCTCCTTTGAAGGATCTATACAGTTCCCTTAAGGGTGGTTCAATTGTGGTGGCTCAGGGTTAAGGTTTAGGGTGCGGTTGGGTTCCATGGTCCAGGGTTTACCCTGTACACATGAGATGCATACTTGTAAAAAAATGGTTGATGAAACCGCTCAGCACCCTGTCACCGCCCGTTGAGGAAATTCAGAGAAGCCCCGTAAAACACCGTCAGAATTTCGGATGAGTAAGCGCTTAGGGGTGTCCTGCGTCTCACATTTCCGCCACATCGCGGTGGCGTCATCGTAGCCGTTGTTGCCCTCAGTGTCCTTGTCTGTTGCTCTACGCTCTGAAACTCTCAACACTGAATCCCGTGCGCGTGATCCACAGTAGTTACAGGTAGGCCCAGGCTCAAGTCGTACCGTAACCTACCGAAGCTAGAGTTTAGGGTTTAGGGCTTACAACCATAAACCCTACACCCTAAACCCTAAACCCTAAACCTTAAACCCTAAACCCTATACCCTAAACCCTAAGCCCTAAGCCCTATACCCTAAAGGTTTAAGGCACCAGAACTAGCAGGTCCTCCTCGGCTTCCGTAGGAGAAAGCTCAAGTGTGGGCGCGAAAAACATGGGGGCGCAAGGTTTAGGGTTTAGGGGTTTAGGGTTTAGGGTTTAGGGTTTAGGGTTTAGGGTTTAGGGGTTTAGGGTTTAGGGTTTAGGGTTTAGCCGCAACGCTTGACCCTACCTTGTACTGGTGATGGTATATGGGCAAAACACCAAAGCATCAACTTTGAGAATGTGTTTTCGGACAAACTACAGTGTAGATTGTATATGAATCGTTCATGGAAGCTTTTGGGTGGCCTGGCAGCAATAAGTTAGGGCACGGACAGGGCAGTAGGGCGGGGACAGGCACCAGGGGCAGGGGCAGGGGCAGGGGCAGGGGCAGGGGGAAGGTGAAGGGGCAGGGGCAGAGGCAGGGGCAGGGGCAGGGGCAGGGGCAGGGGCAGGTTGGCGAATGCTCACCGAGATTCCAAGCATTTGGCACTCCACTGACTCTGCACGAAGCCTCCCGGGGCAGGCTCAGTCGGCTCGGGTGGTTCGGTTTGGGGATTCAGGGTTTTAAAGTTTTTGTTGGGGGGTGTAAGGGTTTAGGGTTTAGCGAACAATACGACGGGTTTAGGGTTTAGGGTTTAGGGTTTAGGGTTTAGGGCATCCGTCGTGCTGTCATTGAACAACAACTTGCTTACTCGCACGGGCAACAGCCGGCCGGTAGGGGCCAGCTGACATACACTGGGAGGAATGACGACCGCAGAGGGCCAAAAAAATGTACCACCTGCGAGTACTGCTCCCGATGCATGCAAACCAAGTGCCCAGTCTCCGGTTGAGTAACATGGTCGGATCAACAGATACTTAAAGGATCATGGGACTTAGTAAATAGGGTTATAATTTATAACTACCGTAACTTATAACCCCAGTTAGGGGACTTATAGCCTTACTAACTAAGTCCCATGATCCTCCAAGTACGCTAACATCTCTAGGAAAATCTGACTCTCCTTCAAAGACGTAAATGCCATGACGAGTTGCAGGCTGACGTAACCCGATTTATGGTTCGGGGTTCAGGGTTCAGGGCTTAGTGTTTAGAGGTTAGAATCTAGGGAAGAGACTAGATAATAATCAGAGTCGGGTTTTGGTGTAGAGGGTTTAGGGTCTAGGGCTTCGGGCTTAGAGTCTAGCAAAAAGAGAACCAAAGGAAGAGAGTTGATAACAAGTCAGGCTTCCATATCATAGAACCCTGCAGATGCGACCCTCCGCCCTGAACATCCCAAAAACGAAAAACCTTCTGGGCCCCGCGGAACGGTTTAGGGTTTAGGGTTTAGGGTACTGCAACCCCAGATACTACCAAACAAGCACCTAAAATAATCCGAGGCAACACCCTAAACCCTAAACCCTAAACCCCAAACCCTGAACCCTAAACTCCGAAGCGCCCACCTTTCGGGTGGAAGTAGAAGCGCTGCTCGACAGCCTCTGCCTCAGACCTGAGAAGCTTGGAAGGTTCTACAGCGAGTTCCAGAAAGTTGGAACATGGGGGTACGGCTGAGGGTTTAGTGTTTAGGGTTTAGGGTGTAGGGTTTAGGGTTTAGGGTGTAGGGTGTAGGGTTTGGGGTTTAGGGTGTAGGGTTTAGGGTTTTGGAACATGGGTTTAGGACGATTAGTGCTAGGAACCCTCATACTTTACCTTCAGGGCAGGAAGAGAATGACGTTCCCACTTTCTGGCTTCTACTTTGTTGGGTTTACATATTGGGTATACATTAGTTTACAATGGCCGTCAACAAGTAAGTATGCATCTCGCTTTTTAAGGTCCTCAGGTTTACAAGAACTAAAGTTAAACGAGGTTTCGGGCTTCACGTGTTTGGGGCTTAGGGGCTGGAGTGAAGATTTAGGCCTTGACGGCGCGCTTCCGCTCAGAACTCCTTGTACCTAAACTCTACCCCTAACCCCGTATAATTTGAAGCAGGTACAACTCCACCTATTAAGTCCCGTCACCTCTGGGTCGCAGGCCCGCAAATTTCTTAACTAAGGAATACTGCTTGAGTCATAATTATGACTTGGTTGCCGTGTTCATAAGCCACAAAAATTTGAAAACTTCGGCTCTGTCCCCCCCAAAGTTCTTGAGGCCCGGGGGGGCAGTTGGTGCACGATGTCCGCAGCCAATGGCTCTCGTGAGGATGAGCCTAAACCCTAAACCCTAAACCCTAAACCCCTTTCCTCTGTGAGAGCCCAGGCTTCGGGTCTCAGCCCAGAGTGGCTTCAGAAACTTTGGCCCCGAGAGACTCCAAAACCCCTTAATTAAGGAATAGACCTTAAATTATATAGGGTTTAGGGTTTAGGGTTTAGGGTTTAAGCTTAATTAAGGAATAGACCTTAAATTATAATAGGATCCCTAATAAGGTTTAAGGTCTATTCCTTAATTAAGGGGTATTGGAGTCTCTGGGCCTGCCAAGTGTTTTCCCCTCGTCCGGCAACCACCTAGGCATGGGCAATGAATGATGTGCCCGGTGGGCAGTTGGATGCCCTCTGCTGCTGCAAGCCGCTGGTAGAGGTCATCAACCAGGTGCCCCCGCCCTCTTCCACGCACCTCGACGAGGTCCAGCTCCTCGCCGCAGAGAAGGTGCACCCGTCTCGTCGCAATGGTACAAGGCCGAGCTGGATGCCTGCCCATTGGCTGCTGGCATGGCAGAGACATGAAAGGTTGTGGTGAGGTTTCGGATTTGGCATTGGGGATCTTTGCGAGAGCCAGATGGAAAAGCTTTACATATGATTCTGGCATCAGTGTAGCATTGATTCTTGATCTTTGTGGGAGCCCTGGAGTATCCGAAAGCTGAATCCTAACCCTAAACGCGAAGCCCTTAGACCCTACAGCCTCACTTACCTAAATCCCAAACCTCGAATCCTAGCACCCTAAGTTCCAAAAGCTAGAAGCCATCTGGATGCACTTTGCGAGAAGTGTGGGCTGTAAACAGCGTTGCACCGAATGCAACTTTTCACGAGCTCATCGGCAACTACGTGCGAGGTGGATGCATTCACATGATTCACATAGCAAGGTGTCTATACGATGCTCGGCATTGAGCGTTCAGAGTTGTTGTGGGGTTTTGGGCTCCGAAATAACGAGCCCTTTAATATTCAGGGCACGTCTGCTTCTATATCTCAGTCTCCATAAGGAGACCTCAGCAGAGAAAGGTGCACAAGGGCACTGCTGGCTGGGGTATCCAGAGCCTCAGCTAAAGCCTGAAAGATCGCTGGATAAGTTAGGGCGGTTTAGGGTTCAGGTTCAGGGTTCATGCTTTAAGGTTTGAAGTTCAGGGCTTAGGGTTACTAAAAATCAAAAGCCCGTAGACTCAGACCCTAATATAGGAACCTGATTAAGAAACCTCGGGCCTTTAATCGAGTTCTTTCTATGCGCCCCAATATATTGGGGTTATAGGCCAGGGCTTCTTAATCAGGTTCCCACTGACATTCAGCGCCTCAACTCAAACTAAACCTCACACCATGCACACTGGCGAAAAAAACTGAAACCACCACGCTACCACAGTTTTGAAAGGGGTCCTGGGGTACGGGTTGACCATGCGCCGCCCAGATGCCCAGTGATGTTGTCGGCACATGTCCTTACACTGCAGATGCTCAATCAACACAGGGCCCTGAAAATTTAGAGTAGGGTGTTGGGGTATATACTTTAACCAATGTCAATATCAATACTGATATTAATATTGGTGTATATTCTACAAACCCTAATTAAGCCTCTAAACCCAAACACCAAACCCTAAACCCTAAACCCTCAATCCCTAAATCCCTAAATACAGAAATGCTGAACCCCCTAAATCCCGAAAACCCTTGAACCCCTAAATCCCTAAACACCTAAATCCCTAAACCCGAAAACTTTCGTCGAAGTAAGGACGCCTCAGGAAGAGGATTCTCAAGGCCTTGTGGATTGTCTAGGCTCCAGGACCAGGCCGGGCCCAGGATATAGGGTCATAGTGTCTAATATAGGTTTAGGGTTTGGGGTTTTAGGTTCAGGGTTTATGGTTTAGGGTTTAGGGATTTAGGGGTTAGGGTTTAGGGTGAACTTGGTGTAACATGGTTTCTTTTTCGGGCTTTAAGGTCCCAGGGGTGTAATGTAGGGGCCTTGATAATTAGAATAAGGTTTTGGGCCTCTTTGTAGTATATTTATAATAAGGAGCCCCTCAAAATAAGAATGGTAATTATTTAGGCTTCTATATCAGGGTCTAATGCACGGGCCTAAATAATTACAAATACTATTTGGGGGGGTTCCTTATTAGGATTACAGTAGACTGTACCCCAAAGCCTTATGCGACATATTAAAGCCCCTAACCCCTAAACCCTTATAGTGGCCCTTATAGAACCCTTTGAGGAACCCTTACACGAACCCCAAAACCGTATTCTAATTATTAAGGCCCCTATATTACACAGCCTAAACCCTAAACCATCAACTCTAAACCCTAAACCCTAAACCCCTAAACCCTAAAGCTTAAACCTTACTAAGGCCCCTACATTATGGGGCTTTGGTCTTTGGTCTTCGGGCTGTCGATGTTTAACTGGCGGTTTGGGGTTTCGGAGACTGCGCAATACTGCAGTGAATTTTGATCGCTGTTCAAGTATGGCTTAGGGTTTAGGGTTTAGGATTAACTGGTGTCGGGTATAGAGTATGTGAACATAAGAGAATGCGAGTAACAATTACAGGGTTTCCATAAACCCTAAACTGTTACATAACCCTTCCAGCACGGGGCACTAGGTGCCCTAGACACAGCTGCTTTTTGAGATATTGCTGGACTCCGAAAACCCTAAACCCTAAAGCCCTAAATCCTGAACCCTAAACGTTGGGGTTTTGAGGTTTGGCGTTGTAGGGATGGGGCGTAGGGCTTACCTTAACCCTATAAAAATTTACAGTTCCTTATTATGATTTTTGTATATAAGTGGGTCCAGGCAGGGTTTGGTGGTTTGGGGTTCAGGAAAGTGAGTGAGGGTTCTATCACCAGCCCTGAAATCTATTGCTGGGATCTCTAGTATCTCTACCATACCTGGAATACGCACTCTTTCAAGTCTCTTTCGGAGCCACTTTAACTGAATCCTTAGACCCTAAACCCTAAACCTTTCCCTAAACCTTTAGAACCATGTTAGCTAAATCAACCCTAAACCCTAAACCCTAAGCTTGTCCCTAAACCTTGAGAACCATGTTAGTTAAATCAACCCTAAACCCTAAACCCTAAACTTTTCCCTAAACC